TAAAGAAGGAAGAAAGAAAGAAAGAAAGAAAGAAAGAAAGAAAGAAAGAAAGAAAGAAAGAAAGAAAGAAAGAAAGAAAGAAAGAAAGAAAGAAAAATGAGTGATCCATGATGTCGAAGCTGCTGAAGGTGGACTGGGGAGTGGTCACCAGATTCAAAGACACAAGGTCACCAGTGACCTTGAAAAGAGAAGGTTCTGAAGGTGGGGGTGGTAAACCAATTTATAGGAGATGAGTGAGGAGGAGAAGAAGGGGAAGGTTAGATGCACCTAAGGGAGAAAACCTGGGAATGTGGGCTGTGAAGTTGGAGGAGGAGCTTTGCTTTTCTTTGGGAAGACAAATGCCCTTAAGTGTGGGTAAGCAGATGCCTAAAGAGGGAGTGGCAGAAGAGACAGGAGAGGGACTCATCACAGAAAGGCGACTGAAAGACTGTCGTGCATTCAGGGGGAGTGGGGCCTACAATCCAGAAGGGAAGAGGGGGCCATCTGAGTTGTGATTTCTAGGCTGGGGTGGTTGAGGGCCCAGTGGAGGCTGAGTGGAGGGTGGAGGAGCAAGAGGGAGGGGGAAGGACCTGGGGCCTAAGCCACCACAAGGGTGAGCTCTGACTGGTGGCCAGGGTCTGACTGTCTTCCTTAGCCTTTCGAGCAGCAAGCGGAAGCCAGGTCTGTTCTGCCCACCTCAGAGCCTTCCAGTGGGCTGGGAGGCCCTCTGGACAGAAGGGTCAAAAGCTGGGCCAGTGCGGCAAGGTGGCGCACGCGGGTGATTCCAATGGCTCTGGAGGTGGAGGCAGGAGGATCGTGAGTTCAAAACCAGCCTCAGCAAAAAGTGGGACACTAAGCAACTCAGTGAGACCCTGTCTCTAAATAAAAGACAAAATAGGGGATGTGGCTAGTGGTTGAGTGACCCTGGCTTTAATCTCTGACACCCAAAAAATAAATTAAAAAGCCAGGACCACACTGGTGATACATGCGTGGGTCTGTGCCAGCCGACTTCCTCGGTCACAGCCCTTACTTGCCCCAAGCTCTTCCCTTTGTACCCCAGGCTGAAGGCCAAGGCTTGAACTTGGGGGTTCCAGCCCCTTCAGCTGGTCCCAATAGACAGTAGGGCTTCACGAGACCCGGGAACTCCCTCCTGAGCCCAGGTGTCGGGATGTGTCCCCTGCCATTCCTCTCCCAGGTTTTCCTCTCTCCCTGGCCCCATTAGGTTGGCCACTAGCTCCTGACCAGCTGCTCTGTCCTCACTACCATTCATGATGACCTCGTATCCACATCCCATATACTGCACCCCAGCCCCAAGGGAGCTGAGAGCAACAGCCCTGGCCCAAGCAGCCCAGAAAGGAAACAGATTTAGGGCGCGGCCAGGAATGAGGACAGTGGCAGGAGGAGGTGTCCTTGGGGGTGTTGGGAGCTCCTTGATACCAGCTACTCCTGAAAACAGTCACTGGCTGGAGAAGGTGACAGGTTTACGTGGGGTAGGAGGGGTGGGAGGCCCACTCACTTCTTGCCCAGCTGCCGGGCCACATCACAGCGCTGGAAGCCCTCAAGGTGGTAGAGGCGGCGGGCCAGCCGGCGAGCAGCTTCGCTGACCCCCTGGCACCCGTTGGCCAGCGGGTCTGTGCTGCCAGGCTCCAGCCCCTCCGAGCTGCTCAGCTCTGAGTCCGAGTCTGACAGGCCATCTTTCAGGCTAGGATCACTGCAGATGGAGGAGGGAGATCAGAGGCCCAGGGGCAGAGGTCTGATGCAAGGCTAGAAGGAATCCCAGGCCTCTAAAAACCCACGCAGGGGCCAGAGCAGAGGAAGAAGCTCCACTGCAGCAGGAAAGAATCAAGTTAGATTTTCAGAAGAACCAACCCCTCAAGAGAAATCATTAGCTACTGCACATGCCCATGACACAGCTCCCTGATCTCCTACAAGCTGAGAAAACCTGAAGGGCAGAATGGAATCTCAGGGTGAGAATTCTGGATGCAGAGGATGGACAAGCCAGCCTTGGAGAGGACTCGCTGACTTTGGACACTGGTTCACCGGAATATGCTTTGTCCCCTCCAGGTTTCAGTATCTCCGTCTGTTCAAAGATGGAGCCCCAGCCCCAGCCCCAGGCCTGCCTCACCTGGCTGAGTTCAGCAACTTGTCTGTGTCCTCCTCATCTTCCTCCTCATCCTCGCCTGGACCCTGGGGCCCGTCTTCATGGAATCCATTGGGCACCGTTGTGAGAGACAGGCGGCTCAGGACGTTCTCTGAGCGGCTGCTAGAGATGGAGCGCCGCAGGGGGCTGCCCAGCTCCCCATCACCACCGGCTGCCCCCATGTCCCCCTCAGGCCCCATGTCCCCCACGCCCATCCCAGCCCCTGGCTCGGGGCTGTCACGGGCCCTCTGCTGGATGAGGGGGGTGAGGGGGGCCTCGAAGCTGACGCAGCTGTCACTCTCATCTGTGAGGCTCAGGACGTCCAGGGAGTCAAGGCTGCTGTACTGGGTGCCCCGCAGCAGCTCTGACTCCAGAATCTTCTCAAAGGTGGCACTGAAGCCATCTCGCACATCTGGCTCCCCGGTGCCATCCAGCCTGTGGGATGCAAGGACCCAGTCACCATCCTGCCCAGGGGTACGCCACACAGGGGTTGGTGGCTGGGAGCTCCCTGGGAGCAGGGCAGGCACGGGTTGTGTTCTGCTGATTTTTCTTTCAGCCAAAACTTACTGAGCACTAGGGGCTAGAGGCTGGGCCGGGGATTGGGAATACAGCAGCATAAGGGACAGATGTGGTCCCTGACCCTCAGGGCCTGACCGGCAGCCTGGACCACAGTAGGCCTCCGATATTTCTCTAAATAAGTGACTATGAGGTCTCTTCCCCCAGCCTGGCCTGGGTGGCTGCTCCTCTGAACTCCCAGAGCAATGTGGACAGCTCCCTGTCACAACTAGTGTCACACTAGGTCATCATTTTGCTGTTCTCACAGCCTAGGAGGTTCTTAGCCCAGCCAACCACTCTGCTCTCAGGGCTTGCCTTTATGTCGCTCCCTGGGTAATACAGAGGGGAACAGGCCTATACCATGCTGGCCCCTTCTCTCCATTCCCTATCCTCAGGGATCCCTGCTGTCACCCTAGCCCTTATCAGTATGTAGTATTGTGTTTGTTCTCCAGCTTACTGTATGTTCCCCCAGCTCCCCAAACCAAAGCATCCTAGACTTTGGTCTGCCTAGAAAGGACACCTCTACCAGGAGTGTGCTGAGTACTAGTGACATCCAAATAAAACAGAGCCATGCCAGGAATGGTGGCCCACGCCTATCATCCCAGCAGCTTGGGAGGCTGAGGCAGGAGGATCGAGTTCAAAGCCAGCCTCAGCAACTGAGCAAGGCTCTAAGCACTTCAGTGAGACTCTGTCTCTAAATAAAATACAAAAACAGGGCTGGGGATGTGGCTTAGTGGTAGAGTGCCCCTGAGTTCAATCCCCCATACAAAAAAAAAAAAAAAAAAAGAGCCATTACCTTAAGAGACTCTCAGTCATTGTCAGAGCCACAAATGGTACCCCCATCTCCCACCTGCTCATGCAACAGAGCAGACCTGAGGAATAGCCCTGATGGAGGCTTGAAAACCATCAGCAAATTTCCAAACCTTCATCTGCACCCACCCTCAGTCATCCCAAATTAATAAGTCACCTGAATATGAACAGTGTGTTCCAAGAAGCCCCAGGCTCCTGCCAACCCCTGCTAGCTTCAGTGGCTGTCCTAGGCTCTCTGTGGATGAAACCTGCAGCCATGTACACCTAGTTCACACGGGCTCGCACACCCACATACTGTACTCACATGCCAACCCAGACCTAAAGACACTTCTCTCCAGACACCCACTACAGGCCCAAACACACACCCACAAGTGCACACGCCAGACACTGACACCCTCACTCACAACCACACAGCCCATGCATGACAACATGCTCACGCATGCCCATGCACACACCCCTGTGTAGGCCAGGCACACACATACTCCTGCAACTTGCCAGAGACTACAGCTGTGCTCACCAAGCCTTCTCTTCTATGCTCTCTTCTCAGCCCTTTCTGGTGCCTTCTAGACTTTCCCATGCACATCCCTCCTCCCAATGGCATCCCAAGACTTCAAGTCTTGCCACCTCTTGTTGAGGATAATGGAAATGAGGCTACAACTACAGGAAGCCGGGAATCCCGGTAGAACTTTCTGATGGCAACCTCAGGTGAGGGTGGCTGAGAGGGGCTACCTCATAAAGCCTGCTTTCCTGGGGCCAGCTGCAGGACTGGTATATTCTCATCTGCAGAAAGTCAAGGCATGGCCCAGATGACCTTCACATCAAAGCTTGTTTTTTGATCTCAGAGGCACTCAACTGCTGAGCCACATCCCCAGCCCCATTTTGTATTTTATTTAGAAAGAGGGTCTCATTGAGTTGCTAAGTGCCTCGCCCTTGCTGAAGCTGGCTTTGAACTTATGATCCTCCTGGGATTACAGGCGTGTGCCACCGCACCTGGCACATCAAAGCACTTTATTAAATTTATTTATATGTGGTGCTGAGAATTGAACCCAGTGCCTCACACATGCTAGGCAAGCGCTCTACCACTGAGCCACAACCCCAGGATTTGGAGCTCAAATGCCAGTCTAGGATGGAGGGAGTAAAATCCTTGCACCTGACAAAATCAGCTCGTGATGACTTGCGGGGCTGAGGATGGGGATACAATAAACCTGCTAGCCTCTGAATTCCCACTCATGGCCCTATCCTCCCCAAACATCCAGAAGGTGGACAAAATAGGGATATGAGAGTCCCATCTTATGTATGATAAAAACAGGGACCAGAACAATAAGGGGCTAGGCACAGGCCACATAGGACTGGAGCTGCCAAACATGGTAAGCCTCCAACCCAAGACACCCACTTACCCCAGCTGAGGGTCCTCAGTGTCTGCACACAGGCTCCTGGGGATATCTTCCCCCTCCACCAGCTCACCAGCCCTCCAGGGCCTGGACTCTGTTGAATCTTCTGGAATGTTCGTATCTGGCCCCAGGATTAGGCCATTGGTGAGGGAGAGGCCCAGGCTGATGGCAGACAGAGCCTCATCTGGGTCCTCTGTGGGCTCCTCGGTATCCTCCAGGGTTCCCCTCTCCTCGTGCACTGGGCTGCTGAGGTGGCTGCTCAGTTCCTCACTGGCTGCCATTCCATTCTGGACCCCAGGTTCCTCCTCAGGTGCCAGGCTGGGGTCCCAGGTGGCACCGCCTTCCTCAGGCAGTGAGGATGGGAGCTTATCCTCCTCCATGGCAGCCACTGCTTCCATCCTGACCCAGCTGCTCCTGGGACTCCAGTAGACCTGGCAGAAGACGGAGAGATGAGGTCAGAGTCCGTCAGACAGGAAGGATCAGGGGATCCAAAGCCCTGCAGAACCAGTACCGGTACAGCCTGCCTGGGGGCAGGAGGGTGGTCCTGATGATCTCAGGACCTTTCCAGCTGAAGTCTGGGTTCAGGTCAGGGCCCCCTCACTGCCCTGCCTAGACCAGGCCCTCTCACTGTCCCCTGACCCCTGTGTCAATCCCTTGTGCCTCAGTTCCTGTCTTCCCTGTTACCTCCTGTGTCTGTGGTGCCCTCCAGAATTCACCAAAGTCCCCCGGTGAAGATCTAGGAAGGGAGGAGCTGGGCCACGGCAGCACCTCCTGCAGGCCCCTCCATTCCTGCTGGCTGACAGGTCCCCGGCGCTTGTTCCAGGGGCCAGAGATGAGGGAATCTTTAGAGTTAGTGGAGAGAACTGGGCTGGAGGCTACCCTTATGGGGCATTAGGAGAGGAAGCAAGGAAGTCAACAGAAGTGCAGTTCGGTCAGCTCAGTCAGAGGTGAGTGCACCCCAGGGAAGCCAAAGCGGATCTTAGAGACATCAGCCATAGGAGGCCCAGAGTGAGGCGCTGTCCAGGGTGCTGGGCGAGTGCAGCGCCACCCGAGAGCCTCGGGGAGACCAGGCTGCCCCTGTAGTGCCCAGCACTCTGGCTGTGCCAAGAGGGAGGAGGAAAAGACTTGGGGTTCCCCTCCACATCCAGATCCCCACCACAGCTCGCCAGGCTTGAGGAGGGACTCAGAGGAAGCCCCTGGGGAGAACTGCGGGGAGAGCACGGCGAGGCGGGTCAGGCCCCACTCTGCCCAACTTTCTGTGTGGCCTTGTGTCAGTCTAGGCCAGGCCTCCTGACTGCGCTGGCCAGGCCAGCCCCACTCCTCGCTGCCTTGTATTGGGTCTGCTCCTCTTTCGTGAAATGAGGAGACCCCTTTTGTGCTCCATCTCTATCCCTGCCCCATTTACAATGGCTAGGAGCCAACCCAGGTTTCCCACCCGCTTACCCAACCGCATCCTACTGGGAAGGGCAGAGGTTGTATGCAAAGAGCTGTGGTCCAGCTCACCCCCTTCCACTCTCTGCCCCTGGCCCCACCTAGTCTAGGCTAGCCACCCACAGTCACCTCTGCTTGGTGTGGGGAGGGGGGGAACCAGTGACTCCAAATGCCCTGAAAGCTGCAAAAAGCAGGAATCCAGGGCATTGTTCCTGTTTCTGGCTGGGCCACCTTCTTCCTCCCCTCCAAAGGCCTTGGTTACCCCCCAGCACCCCCACTCTCCTCTGAGAAGGGCTGCTGGGGTCCAGGAGAGGCTGAAGGAAGAGATCAATGGGTCTTCTTTCTGGGCTGCAACAGAACAAGCTGCAGGGGCAACTACAAGAACATGAGACCCAAACTTCCTGTACATGCTTCTTCAGAATTCTCACCTGAAGACGACGTTAAAATACAGATAGCCAGAGCCTACCCCAGACTCTGAACAGACTCTGCAGGACAGAGAGGGCCACCTGTAATTCTATAATGAAGCCAGTGTGGGAAACATGAATTAGACTCCAGGAGGACTTCCCTCTTAAACAAGATGAGCCCAGAGAGGAAGGTGGATCTACTTCTCGGTGGACTTCTAGGTCCTTGAAGAAAGATCAGCTATGACAAAATTAATTTAATCTTGGGTTTGCAAACATGGAGAAAAAGAGGACAGGTCAGACAGACCTACGGGCCCAGCCCACCCACCCTGATCACCACCTCTAGAGTTTAGACTACTGCATGAGAATAAGATTTTTTTTTTAAGTCCACATATTAAAAAAAAAAAAAAATCTGAAAGCAAGGCTCAGGTTCCAAACTATCTGAGCCCTGATCCTAGGACACCAGGGACCCTGGGGGCTCAGCACTGTCTTTCTGGTCTGCCCTACATCCCCGCCACCGCTGGTGCTATTTCGATCTGTTCCCTCTGGTTGTGTACCCAGAGGAGGGAGAACAGGAGGACGGGAGGTCACCTCCTCAACTGAGTCTCCAGGGGGTGGGGGGTGGCATTTAAAAAGAAATGAAGAGAGAGGGGGTGGCCTGTTGGCCTGCTGCCTGAATCTTAGTCTAGCCCTCTGGCCTGCTTTCCAGCCCGGGGCCAGGTGAGCACTGGTCTGAGGCATGAGGTTGGAGCCTGATCCCATCCAAGGTTTGAGAGTATAAGTGGCTTCGCTTGATGCTCAACCTCCACCAGCCCCAAAGTTAGGGCTGTAGATAAATCAAAGACCCCTGAGACCCCTATGCTACCCCCCCAACTTTTAGCAGCTTCCTCAAGCTAGCTGCATCCCTACCTGCCCTGCCATGTCCTCCTACAGCTGGGAGCAGGATGGAGGTTCTGCCAGCACCGGGCACTGGGCCGCATGCTTGGTTTCTGGGTGGGCAGACAAGGGGCAGCATTGAGCTCTATTCTGGGCGGGGGGCCCAGAGTCCCTGCCAGGGCAGAGGGCCAGCTGAGCCCAGAAGAGCTGAGCCAGGACCCCCTTTCTTACTGAGCCTCAGGAGGGGTGCATAAGTGGTAAGTTTCAGAGCAGAGGTATAAAACAACACCCCAAAGCCTCACTTGGAACAGCTACGTACCCGGTTCATCATTGCCCCATTTGGCCTTTGTGAAGCTATCTGCAGAATGGGACCGTTTGCCCCTCCTCCCCCAAGGCTGGTGAAGGAACCTAAGGTGACAAACGCTGAGCGATCTGAGGTTTAAGGATCTGAGGTCAAGGATGAAAGGCAACCAGGCTCTACTCTTTCCACCACCACATTTAACAAATGGGGAGACTGAGGCACAGGATCCAGGAAGGCTTCAGGAGAGCACACAGTGAGTAGCTGCCTCCAGAACCCTTAGCCTCCCTCTGCTGCCCGAGGTTGGAGGTGCAGGATGAGCCATCGTTTCCAGGCCCCCATCAGGCCCTCTCATGAGATGAAGGGCCCATATTCTCAACCCAGAGAGAAGGCCTGAAGCACTGACCCTGCCCACCTCCAGCCCCACTGGCAAGAGTAAGGGAGAGGGTACTGCTGGGCCCTGGGCATCCATCCCAAGGAGATGACTGCAAATGACAGGCTGCCAGTGGCCAAGATCCCTGCAGCTTCTCTCAGCCTGATCCAGGGCCCTTTCCAGGCAGGAGCTCCTACTACCCACAATCCTTGGGATGACCTTGGGTTCAGCAGCCTCTTTTTCAGCACCAGACAAGATAAGGACCATGATGATAGAGGAACCCTGGCTGGACTAGGGCTGACAGCTGAGCCAAGCACTTTCTGGGTCTCAGTTGCTCCTGAGACAACCCTGTGGCCCTTGCCACTCTCCCCACAGCAGCTGGAGTGCACTATGAAAACATAAATGACATCACACGCCCGCCTCCTTCATAACCCTCCCATGCTTCCCATCACCCTAAGATTAGAATCCAGTCCCCCCGCAGCATGGCCTAAAAAGGCCCTGCCTGAGCTGTCTGCTGTCTCTCCTCATTCCCTTCAGCTACCCTGGCCTTCTTTCTCTCCTTGAGCTCATTCCCACCACAGGGCCTTTGCACCAACTCTACCCTTAACCTAGAAGGTTCTTTCCTTAGATCTTTAAATGACTGCTTTTTCTGCCATCCCAGGCTCAACTCCAATGCTGCCTCCTCAATGAGGCCATCTCTGACCACCTAGCACACTCTCACACTCCACCCTGAGGCATCAGAGCACCAAGCAGAACTGAACTCCCTTTGCTGTCTGCTTATGTCCTGCCCATCTCCCTTACACTGGGGACAAGTTCATGAGAGTGGGGACCTGTCATGTTCATAGCTGTCTCTCCATAGCCTCATACCATGTGTGACATACAGTAAGCACCTTATAAATATTTGTTGAATGGATACCCTGGAATTATCATCACCCCCATCTTTGGCAGAGGTTCAGGAGCATGCTCAGGGTCACAAAGTTGGAAAATGACAAGGCTGAGAGTCTGCTTGGAACACTAGACTATTATAGGGATAATCTTATAGTCCCTTCCATGGCCTAAGCCAGGGACAGGGGGAAGTCCAAGTGGAGGTAGGTCCTAGCAGGAAGGCTCCAGGTGGCACTGTAAGACACAGAGGCAAGCATATGTGCACAGGTGCCCATGCGCTTGTCTCTGAGCAATGTGGACATTCATGTGCTCCTACACACATGCGCACACATACTAACGCATGGAGGGAGGTAGACGGACACATGGGGCATTTCTCTGGGTGACAAAGTGGTGATGAGCAGCCTCCAGGCTCATAGGCAAAGTTAAGGCAGCTAGACCAACGTCACTGGGTCAAAAATCCTTCTGCTTTGGGAGAATCTGGGGCCAGGGAAAGGATAACCCAGAGAGTCAGGCTGGGTGGCATTGGGGAAAACAGGACCCACACTGACCATCCCCATACACAGTGGAGGCACAGAGCTGAGGCTGGGGGTGCAGGCCACTTGGTGGAAATGGGGACACCAGGGCAGAGCTGGGACGGGGGCTCTGGAGCTGAGCACTTCTCCCAACAGGCAAAACCTAAGCTTGCAGAGTCCAAGGCTGCTTAGCCCGGGAAGAGCATGTAGAAGAGGCTGGGGTCAGAGAGCACTGCTCTGGAACATCGGTGTAGAGGTAAGGCCGAGACCACTGATGCCCCAGGGAGAGAGACTACTGGTTTAGCCTCTAAGTTGCTAAAGGAGCTCAGAAAAATGAAACCCTTCTTTGGTCTCATTTTCCCCACCTGTGTCAGAGATTCTGAACCATTCCCACATCCGGGGTCTCTCTCAGCATCTGATAGAGATGAGGACCCTGCCCCAGATGGACTCTCATATATATGCACAGCATTCTGAGTCTGTTTGAGAGGCTCACAGATCTCGAAAGCCCATTTATAGGCTCTGGGCATGAGCCCCAACCTGGACAATCCCCAAGAGCCTTCCATCTCTGACACTGGAGGTGCAGAGAGCTTCACAAGGGTTTCCTGACCAAAAAAGAAAAAGAAAAAGAAACAAAGGAAGAAAAGGAAAAGTAAGAAACCTTTCACTTCTGAATCATTCTCTGCCCCTAGGAACCTACCCTTACCACCCCCCTGACCCTGGTGTCTTTCCCCCAAATTCTTCCTGAACTAACTGGCTCCCTAACTCATCTAGATTTTAGCACATAGCTGGGATCTTCACACACTCATGAACTCACAAGGGCACACACAGGGACACTCACACAAACCAATCAATGCAAACAGCTGGCCTATAGGAAATGCTCAGGACAGACCCGGGCCAGCCATACCCGTGAGCCTGGGGCTTGAGCTGGCCCAGGCCCGAGCACTCCGGCTCCATCAAAAGCTGCTGGATCACTGAGCATGTGCAGCGAGAAACTGCCTGGAAGACCCCTGGGTCAATTCCCCGGATCACACAGCTCATCGTGCTCCCTGGCAGCCTCTGCTAACCAAGGCACTGAGAGGCCAACTCTTCCTATCATCCCAGAGCTCCAGGCATGCCCCCAGGCCCAGGTCAGTCTGAACCCGTACCTCTTCAACATCCCAGCTCCCCAGGGAGGAAGGAGCCCAAAATAACAGGAGGGGATGTCCACCCAGGAGTCTCGGGAACTTCTCTGTTTCCACAGGCCAAAGTGGCCCTAACCCTCCTAACCCATTTGGTCTTTCCCAGATTGAACCACCTTGTATGACAACAAGTGCCTCAGACTGAGACAGTCCAGGAAAGTGGGTCAGGAC